AGCCAGGAACCCCTGAGCAGAGACACGCCAACACCAGCGATTTAGAGGGGGGCTCCAGCACAGATAAAATCAGCTTCTCTCCTGAGCGAAAGAAGAAAACACACAGGTTGAACTGCAGTGAACTGTGTGAATCAGCTGCAGAACGCTCTGTGTACTAAACAACACGTGCAGAGGCTTCAGCCTGGTGTCTGCTGGTTAATACAGCATGCTGACACAATGAGCCCCTTCAAAGACTCTTCAATGTGCACTTTATACTAAGACTCAAAGATTTAAGGGTAATATTTAATAGCAATATTTCTGACAGATATTTTGAGGGATTTGATTTGCAATATACATTTTTTTTTAAAAGTCAAATCTCAGTTCAGTATTCGCTGCGTAATAGATTTTAGACGTGATGGAGCATTACCACATGAGACACAACTGAAGGCATGACTGTCACACAAGGAGGACAGCATGATTTTGTAAAACCACTGACACAACAGTTTAAACCCTGTGTTGAAGGCAGAATGCAACACATATCCTAAACTGCAGCTGTTTGCAAATTGCAAATCATGCTTTTGTTTTTATACTTTTCCAGATGTAATTTTGGGACAGGATTTCCCAGCATCATCAATGGATTGTTTCTCTAATAGCACCAGGAACAACGCAAGATGTTAATGACCGGGTTCCCTCAGGAGACTGTTTCACAGAGGTGCTGAGCCATCCAGATCCTGGCACATCTGGTCTCATAATCCATTTCGTTAATAATGACAGTCTGTACAAAAGCATAGCTCTTTTCCCTTGAAGGTTAAAGTTTTCTTTTAGAAAAGTGTTATAAATGTCACATCGCTGACGGAAACTCTGTGCAGCTATTGTCTGCAGAGGTGTCATGGTTGCAGTCAGCTGATCGTGCAAACTAAGAAGCAATGCGTGTTTGTTGGCCTCCAATATCAACCTTCACGTGTTAATAAACGCTTGACAGGCTGAGAGGATAAAACTCTACGTGCTGTTAAATATTTCTTTGAAGTTGCATCTGTGTTGACTTTTTAGAAAAAGAGACTGATACTGAATGAATCCGTTGTATCTTTCATGCTCGTGTGCACTCACAGCTGTTAACATCAGTCCAGATGACTGATTTAAAGAACGGTTCAAAATGAGCCTTTAAGACATTGAAAAGTTTTTGTCTGTAATTTCTACTGTATTTATTCTTGCGACTTACAACTGAATTAGCTAGCAGCATGCTGATTATCTAACCAAACTACATTTTTTGAGAGGGGGGGTTACTTGAGTTCAGTCTTTAATCTTCGAGGGACTACACTTTAATTCTTCCCCTGGTTTAACACTCAGAAATTTGTTCTTGTATCGGTGGCGTGGGAGCATTAGCAACTTACATAATGACAAAAGTACACACAGGAACAACAGTAGCTACAACAGCAGATGACACTAGGATCAATTGGCAAAGCCCTTATAATAACCTGAAACATGCCTTGCTCCGGTAGGTCTAGTCTATCTATAGCGCACCATGTTTCGCTGTATAAACACTAAATACTGACTCAGACAGCTACGCAACCATCTTGCTCATAAGTCACAACTCACGGAGGATTCAGAGCCTCGCCTACAGCTCAGTTCCCTGTTTTTAAGATGACAGCAGTGTGATGGAGCCAGAAAAACAAATCTGGCAAGTCTCTGTCTGTGTCTCCTGAGATTCAGCACGTTGTAATAAAAAGATGAAAATTTAAAAAAAAAAACAACAACAACAACCACAAATGTGCATTCAGAGTGAGTCGGCTGCTGAGACTGAGGATGAGGAGAGGACAGGAATATAATGAGAGGGATAGAAAAAAAAAATGACAATGATGGAAGGTGTGGGTTTTTTGTTTGTGTGAGGCAGAGACAAAGTGGGTGTGCGGCTGTGTGTCTTCAGGCGGTGCAGAGGGAGCTCCTGTTAGGTCGCGGCTGAAGGTCACACGGGAATATTCTTTCCACGGTGCCTAGCGGTGCAGCAGGGGAACAGTCATCACTGCTGCACAGCAAAAACCTCTTAACTCCAATTTTGGTGGCTGCCTCTGGGTCTGTAAGCTCAGCTGAAGGAAAACCTGTTCTTCTGCTGAGACTGAAACACTTCTGCAGACCAAGAGCATGCGACACGGAATGAAATCCGCTGCTACATAACATCTAAAGTAGAGGTGGGAATCACAAAGTAAATCATGATTTGATGCCATCACAACACGCTGTCGACGGTGCCACATAGGGATATACCATTAATGGGCCTAGCCGATTATCCAACCAGATAGTCAGCATTTTCCCACTTGTTTGCAATTTTTAAAAACAAATTTAAAACAACAATAAATTAATATTTTAAAAATGCACCGATTGGCTCTTTATCCATAATGTCACGGTGACAGCAAAATCCGACTGGTGACACATCACTGCCAATGAACACTGAAGAAAAAATGTTAAAGGTATCTATAAATATATGTCTCCCTGATAACTAATAATCGTCTGTTTTGGTCCTGAAAAAAACAATATCGGTCGACCCTTAGTGTCACAACCCAGCAATTCAATACATCACAAGATAATCCACAACAATAGATGACGATATATGTGTGAATAAAAAATTTTAAGAACCCTAAAAAAGGCAAAAAGCAGGAATTATGTATTTATTGTGCAGGTGTTATCATCGCTGTTCAATTTTAATAATGTGTCAGTTTATTTAATTAGCTCTCTGCCTTGCTGTCCTCGGCCATCTTTCGTTTTCCCCGTGAGTTTCTTCTTCCTCGCTGGAGGTTAATTAACTTCCGCTGACTTTAATCTCATTCGCTTGATAAGAACCACCACGAGCAGCCATAAAGTAGTGACTCCGGAAAGTCCAAAGTGGCCGTGGGAATCCATTTAGAGCGTCTGTACGTTTTAATTAAAATATCGATATTTGGCGCCGGTGTATCGATGCACTCACAAGAGGAAGTGATATGACATATTGCCGTGTCAATATTTTGTCTCATCCATAATCTAAAGCACATGGTGGTGAAGCGAAACACAAAGTTGATTAAGGTTTGGGTGTGTAACACTGCACAGTGTGAGAAGATATACATTTATCAGACTGTCACATAATCAGTTTGTGCCGTGATTCAGTGCTTCTGGGTTTATTAGACCAGTGACGGCATGTTACGAATCAATGAGCAGGACGGATCTGACAGCATTCACGTGTTTTTATATGAAATGTGACAAAGTATTGTTAGCTGTCTGGTGTTTAATTTACTGGACAAGCCAAAAACAAAACCAAAGACATTGCTGTTGGGCTCTTTTACCCATAAGCACTTCATGAAATGATTTTCAAATAACGTCACAAGGGCTGCAACTAAAGTTAATTAATCTTTGGTTGGTCTTTCCAAAAAATATCAGCAAATCGTAAAAAAAAATAATTTCTCAAGTTAGCAAATGTGACGTTTTAATATGTCTTTTTTTTTTTTTTGCTCAAGAAACAGTCCAATAACTCAGAAATATACCATTTACTGTCAAGGACAAATAAGAAAACCAGATAATACTGACATAGGCACTTCCTCTCACATGATTAATTGAATTATGGTTGCAGGAGTGGATTTAAACAGTGAAATAATGAATAATTCCGGCGTGACCTGCTGGCATATGTGATGAAGACGTTCACCGTGTAATTGTGCCATCACGGGTTTGTGTTCGGTCAGGGGCCTTTATTAAATGTCAGCCCCCACCTTATTTCCTGTCAGCTCTCTGCTGTGCTCTCAACCAAAGATACCGGCCAAACCAATACAGCTCCTGTAGTATAAAATTGCATGCATGTGACATTTTATTAATACATTATCCCCTCCTATGGCTAATTTTTCCTTCCAGTTGCTGAAAGAACAGACATTTTGGAGGGATTTTCGCCGAAGACCGAGAATCTTCTCTCTCTCTCTGTCACACACACATGCATATCAAAGCCCGCAGCATAATAGAAATCTGCATCATTTATGAGTCTTTCCAGCCCTTACAGTGTGTTCAGTCTACATGTGACTGGGAGACGCATAATACATCTCTCTCTCTCTCTCCCTCTCCCCATACGATGCCAGCTGTACAGCTACTGACTGTGCGGCTCCCTGCAGAAGAGGAGGCACGTGTTCATCCATCTGACCCAAGCTACATTCACACCACAAAATGATGCAAAGACACACACACACACACACACACACACACACACACACACACACACACAGAAGAAAAAGCAGAGTGAGACAGCTTCATACTGCACATTTATCTGCTGGTCATTAGACAACTGCATAGAGCTGCAGGCGGGCATTTCCTGGGCAGAGTTGGAGTAATAGGTTTTAAAGAAAATTAGTAAGGCTTCTGTGAGTCCTTAAGATATATCTTTAAAAAAAAAAAAATACAGTACACAGCTCAGAAATGGTTATTTTACCATTCAGTTTCTAGGACCAATTTTCTACCACCAAAAATGGGCTTTGCTTTATGCCAAGACATATTTGAACCAATCCCTTTAGTCAGGATAAAGAAAATACACATTTTTTTTCCTACTCAGGGAGTGCCTGTTTGAGAAAACCTGTCCAAACATCCCACAGATGCCTATCAAGACAGACTGTCAGGTAATAACAGTGTTATCAAGGGCTGAAAAACATGCAAATGTCTTGGTTGTCAACATAAACTCACTACAGGGAGCAAGTATGAGTCACTGCAAAAGACTGTTAAAGGTTATTCTGCAGGTTCGTCGTCTTAATAAACTGAGAGAAAGAGTCCAATTTCACAAGCTAATATAAATCTGAAATGTTAGCTGACTGATACACAAACGAGCTAACTGATGTGATAAAAGTTTAAATGGCTACGTGACTTTTAAAGCGTCAACAAACGGTGGAGTAAGAGGTCGCTGTTAGCTTATTAGGCTAATAAGTGCCACACACCGCCACTAAGCCCCCCGCTGGAACTAAGTTATTCTTCGCCTGCGGTGAGGAACCGTTCACCGGAGGGGGCTAACGCGTCCTGACCGGACTCACCGTGTCTGAGTGCAGGTCCTGCTGCTGGCACAGCCGGTACAGGAACGAAGTTTGCTCCTTGAGGAGGGTCTGCCGCGTCGTGAGGAACACCGTGCCGCCGACGTTCAGCCGGACCCACTTCCCGTTGTTCCCGCCGTTGGGGTTGATGACCGAGCCGTTGCCGATGCTCTGCGGCGCCGTCCCGCTGGTTTCGGTGGCGGTGGCCGTGGCGGAGGTCGCGCTGTCTCCCGCCTCGCTGTCTTTGTTGTTATTGTTGTTGTTGTTATTGTTGTTGCTGTTGTGATGGTGGCAGCCAGGGTGCGTCGGTAGAGAGGCGATGTCCGCCGCTTCCCGCTGGTCGTCCGCGGTCGTTGCCATTTGAAAAAAAAAAGCCGCTGGACACAAAGTGAAGCCGAGCGAGGACGACCGTCCCTGACTGCTGCCTCCGCTGCCTCTGTCCGTTACCGACCCAGCAGGCTCCGCCCCCTGACGGAGCAGCCGGGTCGAGTTACAAGAAGTTAGTCATAGTACATCCGGGGAGTAATTTCAAAATAAACACCATAAAATTAATCTAGATTTTAAAGTGAGTTTTATCAGGGCTAGTTTAACCAAGCTTGTCTTTCAATATTTTTCTTATTTGTGCACCCACATCTTTTATTTTCTTACTTGGCTACTGTGTATAATGTGTTAAAATAAAAGTTGGATAAATCATGAGTTGTGGACCTTCATTCTCTGTACAGTGTGTACAGTTATTTTTTTGCACTGTGTAGGCCAGGGGTGTCGAACTGCGGTCCTCGAGGG